AGTTTGGTAGGGAGGGACCAAAGTAATCCTGGCATGGAACACTGGTCAGTGGTCAAGAATATCCTGAAGTACCTGAAAAGGTCTAAGGATATGTTTCTCGTTTATGGAGGTGACGAAGAGCTCGTCGTAAAGGGTTACGTCGATGCTAGCTTCGACACTGATCTAGATGAATCCAAGTCAAAAACCGGATGCGTGTATATTTTGAATGGTGGGGCAGTCAGCTGGTGCAGTTGCAAGCAAAGTGTCGTGGCGGGATCTACATGTGAAGCGGAGTACATGGCAGCCTCGGAGGCAGCACATGAAGCAATCTGGATGAAGTAGTTCATTACCGACCTAGGAGTTATTCCCAATGCGTCGGGCCCAATGACTCTCTTCTGTGACAACACTGGAGCTATTGCCCTTGCCAAGGAGCCCAGGTTCACAAGAAGACTAGGCATATCAAGCGTCGCTTGAACTCCATTCGTGAAAATGTTCAAGATGGAGACATAGATATTTGTAAAGTGCATACGGATCTGAATGTCGCAGATCCGTTGACAAAACCTCTTCCACGAGCAAAACATGATCAACACCAAAACTCTATGGGTGTTAGATTCATCACAATGTAACTAGATTATTGACTATAGTGCAAGTGGGAGACTGTTGGAAATATGCCCTAGAGGCAATAATAAAATGGTTATTATTATATTTCCTTGTTCGTGATAATTGTTTATTGTTCATGCTATAATTGTATTAACCGGAAACCGTAATACATGTGTGAATACATAGACCACAACATGTCCCTAGTGAGCCTCTAGTTGACTAGCTCGTTGATCAATAGATGGTTATGGTTTCCTGACCATGAACATTAGATGTCATTGATAACGGGATCACATCATTAGGAGAATGATGTGATGGACAAGACCCAATCCTAAACATAGCACAAGATCGTGTAGTTCGTTTGCTAAGAGCTTTTCTAATGTCAAGTATCATTTCCTTAGACCATGAGATTGTGCAACTCCTGGATACCGTAGGAATGCTTTGGGTGTACCAAATGTCACAATGTAACTGGGTGGCTATAAAGGCACACTACAGGTATCTCCGAAAGTGTCTGTTGAGTTGGCACGAATCGAGACTGGGATTTGTCACTCCGTATGACGGAGAGGTATCTCTGGGCCCACTCGGTAATGCGTCATCATAATGAGCTCAATGTGACTAAGAAATTAGTCACATGATCATGCATTACGGAACGAGTAAAGAGACTTGCCAGTAACGAGATTGAACGAGGTATTGGGATATCGATGATCGAATCTCGGGCAAGTAACATACCGGTTGACAAAGGGAATTGTATACAAGATTGATTGAATCCCCGACATCGTGGTTCATCCGATGAGATCATCATGGAACATGTGGGAACCAACATGGCCAGATCCCGCTGTTGTTTATTGACCGGAGAGATGTCTCGGTCATGTCTGCATGATTCCCGAACCCGTAGGGTCTACACACTTAAGGTTCGGTGACGCTAGAGTTGTTATGGGAATTAGTATGTGGTTACCGGATGTTGTTCGGAGTCCCGGATGAGATCCCGGACGTCACGAGGAGTTTTAGAATAGTGCGGAGATAAAGATTTATATATGGGAAGTCCTTATTCGGTCGCCGAAAGTGTTCGGGGGTTTATCGGTATTGTACTGGGACCACCGAAAGGGTTCCGGGGGTCCACCGGGAGGGTCCGCCTGCCCCGGAGGGCCCTATGGGTTGAATATGGAGGGGAACCAACCCCTAGGTGGGCTATGCGCCAACCCCCCCAGGGCCCATGCGCCTAGGGTTGGGGGAACCCTAAAGGGGGCGCCCCCTTGGCTTGGGGGGCAAGCCTTCCCCCCTTGGCAGCCGCCCCCCTCTAGATCCATCTAGAGGGGGCCGGCCCCCCTCTCCCTTGCCCCTATAGATAGAGGGGAGGGCTGCCGCACCCTTCCCCTGGCGCAGCCCTCTCCCTCCCCAACACCTCCTCCTCCATAGTAGTGCTTGGCGAAGCCCTGCCGGAGAACTGCAAGCTCCACCACCACGCCGTCGTGCTGCCAGAGCTCTCCCTCAACTTCTCCTCTCCCCTTGCTAGATCAAGAAGGAGGAGACGTCCCCGGGTTGTACGTGTGTTGAACGCGGAGGCACCGTCCGTTCGGCGTTAGATCGGATCTTCCGCAATTTGAATTGCCGCGAGTACGACTCCATCGTCTGCGTTCTAGTAACGCTTCCGCTTAGCGATCTTCAAAGGTATGAAGATGCACATCCTCTCTCTCTCACTCTCTTGTTGCTAGAATCTCCTAGATTGATCTTGGTGATACGTAGGAAAATTTTGAATTATTGCTACGTTCCCCAACAAACGGTTAGTGGCTTCACCACTTTGCTCTACATGATTTGTATGAGCTTGTTGGATGCTTCTGCTTGTGATATTATAAATATGTGCTCTATTTATTCAAGTGTCTGTCGTGGATGTCGGACGGTACAAAGGAGATGATGTCGGGTTTTCCCACGAGCATTGTGTTTGGTGGTAACATTCCTTCTTACAAGGAGGGGTGTTATACCTCAATAATTAAGATAATAATAATCAGGCAAGAGCTTTGGGTGTTTAATAAATACACATCATGAATCCCTAAGGATTGGGTTCGTGTTACCATGCTAAACCCTTTTTGTCACTTGTGTTCGAAATAGCACTTCACATTCTCCCTGCACTTAGCATCATCGTTACTCGATCTCCATGATCCTGGGTAGCTGTAGGGATGAAGATCGCGGACAAGACAAGAGACATCTACAGAACAGTTTTATTTCACACATACAGGATGCTAATTCAAAGCTCTTCCATTGATCCCCATAATAAATATAGAGGGTTGCAAGGCCTATGCCTCAACCCATACCTTACCGAACTACTAACACATGGAGATCAGATTGCAAGAAGAAAACATAGAAGAACACATCTTGAAGATTGATTGATTACAAATATGTCTTACAGTGGTTGCATTGTGCAATGCACGGTTACAAGTATGAACTAGAACGAGATGGACTATGGTGGTGGCTAGGGTTGATGAGAGGGATGAAGATGGTTCTGTTCTGACTTCGCTCGACGATCCTCTCTTGACATTTTGGCATGGACCCCTTTATAAAATTTGTCCAGGTAGACGAGCTGCCTCGGAATCCACGCCATACGGGTGCTTGCGGTTGTATGAAATGACGTGTTTTGCTCTGGCGCCGCTGGTGCATCTCTTGGCGATTCATTCTTTCTTCATTTCCACTCCTTTCCATGTGCACACGTGATTTCTTCCCTTTTTATCCCATTTCCTGTGAAAATACATCAAAGAGAGGATTTATGGAATACTTTGCATTTAATAGTCATTAGTAGCAATATCAGAGCGAATATCCCAGTTTTAATGAAATATCTTGGTTTAAACAAAGGGTGAATGAGTATAAAAATATCACTCACCAGTCTGCAAGTTGTGACACGTCCGACCATTTATTAGTCTTTTTTGACCTAGAAAACTCCAAATGCAAAACTTATCGAAAACCAATAGAACTTGTCTTGATGCCTTGAATTTTTCATACAAGCCAATTAAAAAAATTGGGGTCATACGACGGATGTCGAGAAACAATGTGCTCTCAAACAGAGCCTTTTGACCTCTATACAAACATACTTTGTTGAACATGGTCTTGGACATCCTTGAAATGACCCCCAATGTTTACAAGTAGGTGAGCATGCCCATGGTACGCATCCATGTCAGGTTTGAACGACTTCTGACGCCGTATGCAAGTTACGACACGTTCGGACATTTATTGATTCTTTTTTACCGAGAAAACTCCAGAAAATACAAAATTTGCAAAAACCAAGCAGCTTGGCGGGGTGACTTGAATTGGTCATAAAAGGCCATGGAAAAATTGGGGCCATTTGATGGGTGTAAAAAACGTGCTCTTGAACAGAGCCTTCTAACGTACCCACATACCATACGTTGAACATGGTGTTTCTTTGGACATCCTTGGAAAGATTGTTGTGGAGAATCCGGAAGCAGGGCGGCTGCGAATCGAGCCTCGCGCCTGGTCCGGATCTCCTCCAGCAGCTGCATCCGCCTCTCCAGAGTAAGCACTGCATAGGTGGCTAGCAGCGGATGGATTGGAAGTGACGGGCGACGAAGGTGAGAAAGAGGAAGAAATGAGAGCGGGCTAGGGTTGGTCTGCCGCCATCCGGCTTAAATAGCCCGACTTGGTAGACGCCACCCGCGCTGGTTGACGTTGTTGATCATGTGGGCCCTAACGGTCAGTAATAAGTGGCAATGTGTGTCCTGGTGTCCCCCTATCTGCCTTATATGGGCCGGGTATGGAGTTGGGTGGCAGTTTCACGTATGGGCACAGCCCATCCAGGTGTTTGGGGGCGGCTTTGGGAGCTCTAGTGGTAAATCCTCTAATATGCTTCCTCCGTTTGGGAATACTTGTCATCAAAATGAATAAAAGGAGATGTATCTAGACGTATTTTAGTTCTAGATATGTTCCTTTTTATCTATTTCGATGACAAATATTTTTGGACGGAGAGAGTACTTATTTCCCACCTAGATGTCATTTAGCAAACGTGATAACTATTTCTAAATCGGTTGAGCCACAGTCACCCCCCAAAAAACGGTGGTGCTAGCAAAACATGCTTTCCGAGCATTGCAGCCGTGCTCTGGATCACTGGTACTCTGCACTTGGGCATGCACGCGGGCACCAATGCCTTGATTTGGTGTGGTTTCGTGCTCCCAATTGGGTGGCTTGCCGGCCTCCTAGCGCCTCCTGTTGCAGTGTATCAGCGAGTCTACCAAAAATAGATGAGGCAGCATCTCGAATTGGGGCACGGCGGCAGTGCCCTCTCTTTTGCCGCAACGGCTGCATCCGACTACCTCCATCTCGAATTGGGGCTCCGCTTAATCTCCAGGTCTTGGATTTTTGTTGTAATAATTGCTTTTCTTTCTGCTTGATCTTAGACAGAGAACTCAATTCGCATAATCGTCATGGCTCGACAGGACGTGCTCATGGAGCCCCAGTCGCCCGGCTCGCCGGCCTCTCCGGGCAAGCCGTTGGCGCCGGAGCTGCCCGAGCCTTATGCGGAAATGCGGCCGTTGGACGTGGCGCCGGACGAGGAGGCCGCGGTCAAGCCGGACCGGCGGACATCATCGGCGTCTTCTTCTTCGTCGAGGGCGTCCTCGGCCGGGTGCGTTTTCCAGGTCGACGCGTCCGAGATGCGCACCCCGTTGGTTGAGGCAGCGGCAGACGGCGACGACGACCATGCCGACGCCGGTCCGGCCGCGCAGGCGAAGTTGCCCGAGGACTGGGCGTCATTTTCGGAGCGGTCGACCGGCGGAGGCACGGTGTCGGCGGCACCGGAGGCCCAGACGATGGCCAAGCCGGCCGTCGAGGGCTTCAACCCGGACAGGATCCCGGCGTCCATCTTCCAGCCCAAGCCGGGGGCGCAGGCGGACTGGAGCATCGCGTCCAACGAGTCGCTCTTCAGCATCCACGGCGCCAGCCTGAGCATCTCCGACGACTTGTACGCCCCCAGCAGGTCCCACTTCGACTACTTCTACGACGAGGCCATGGCGGCCGGCGGCAGCGGATACACAGACGGGAAGCTGCCGCCGCTCGCGGAGGTGCCGGGCAGCGCGATGTCGGACGCGAGCGAGGGGAGAGCGATCCGGCGGCACGAGAGCGGCTCCATCGGCAGCTCCAGCAACTTCTCCTTCGCCTTCCCAATGTACGTACGCCCCGCCGCACGCACGATTTTCTCTCTACCATGACCGACCGTGCTTGACCGATGCCGTCCGTGCGAAACCTTTGTGTCCGCAGACTGGCCGAGCCATCGACGGGGACGAAGGAGAGCATGGGCGGCTACCAGCAGCTGCAGAAGGAGCACGAGCAGTCGCCGCCGCGGCCCTCGAACCGCAAGTCGCAGTTCGAGGAGATGACGACGGAGGAGGAGCGGCGGCCGCAGAAGGCCGGGTGGTGCTGGTGCGGGGAGTGCTGCTGGCTCGCCTGCTCCTGGCCCACCTGCTGCTGCCAATGGCGGTGGCGGTGCTGCTCCTGTCCGACCTGCTGCCAGTGCAGCTGGTGCCTCTGAGAGGTGGTGGGAGCTACACTAGAAATGGCGGGGAAAGAACACAGAGCTGATCTTTCAAAAAAAAGGCCATAGGTGTTGTGAAGGGAACAGTAGATGAGTAGGGAACCAGCGGGGTAAAAAGGATTCAGAGAAGCAGTGTAGTACATTGTTGACAGGGGATGAAAAGTGCAGACATGTACTGTTTTGTTAGGACAAAGAAAAAGGATTTTTAGAACGATAAATCTAACCACTAGTCGGCTGGTGGTTTGCAACAGATCCGGACGACCCCATCATCGTCGGATCCTGATCGTGTGGCCGCCAACGTGCGCGAGAAAAAGAAAGGGGCAGGACGGGATTCAAACCCGCGACCTCCTGCAATTGCCCCACCACGGTAACCAACTCACACAGGCTTTGTTGTTGTCAAAAGCGCCCAGGCTATGAATATATTGCGTAGTGGCTATTTGTTCAAGATTTAAAATGTGAACGACTCGCTAACTTTGATTGCGAATTTAGTGGAAAGAATTTGAAGACTATGCCGTTGACTGTCGCGATTTTTCTTTGAATTGGATATGTCATTTTTTTTGGGTTGCTAGATCTATTGGAACGCCCTCATTACATTTTTAGTTAAAAAAATCATGCTGAATATGGGATTTGAACTCACATCTAGCAGCTAATGTGAAACACACACTAACTAGCTCAGCTGGACCATTTGTTGTGAAAAAGAATGCACGCCATACTATTTGAGCATTCCATGTTGCTTTCTTTTCTTCTTTTCTGTGAGGAGTTGATCAAATATACCCCGGGTAACTGTTATGTGAATAACATGGTCACTCACACATCGCAAACCCGATAACTTATATATCCCTGTCCTGATAACTTTGGCGACCGAAGGGGGAGGGGGGAGTTGACGAACTTTTGTGTAAATAGCATGGTA